TAAAAACACATCTGTTCCACCTTTATTTGACCCTCTAACTCTAACACTTTCTATTCTATTATAATTCTACTTTATCTATATTTATCTTTTTCATTTTTTTGTTCTTTATTTAAAAAAAAAAACAAAAAAAAAAAAACACTAGCTTTCTATTTTTTCTATTCTAACTACTTCTTTTTCTTTGTTTGTGTGTGTGTGTGTGTGTGTGTATAATATATATGTATGTATATATATATGTATATATATATATATATACTGTATACACCTTGCTACGTGTACTGCGTTAGGCTAACCAAGACTTGTCATTTGCACTTATATATTGTTGCTCTTTTGTTAGTTTTGACTGCTTTTATTGTCCTCATTTGTAAGTCGCTTTGGATAAAAGCGTCTGCTAAATGACTAAATGTAAATGTAAATGTAATATTGTTGTGAGAATATGGTTTATAGAGTGGCATTAGGCATTAAGTGATGTGCTTGTTAGTTGGTTTGTTTTACTATGAAGATACAAATAGAAAATTGGTATTTTGCAACTGTAATGCAATTCTCAGGTATAGATAAAATAAGAACAATTTGGTTAATATCAATACATATTAAAATATACGAGCTGTTATGTGTTCAGTATTAAATGTATGGTTTTGAGACACACCTCTCTGTGCATGCAGTTTCTTAAATACACAACACCAGAAAAGAGAACTACACAAGATTATTTTACTATTGTTATTAACTGATCAAACCTGACATTAGAACCAAATTCTTAAATGGGCGCTGTTCAAGAAATGTACAGTATATTTCTAAAAAGTTTATATGAAAGAAATATAAAAAGAATAAAAATATGAAACTATAAAGGACCCTTTTCACAAGACTGTGATGATGCCTTTCAATGGTCATCAGCAAAATACGCATTTATTAATGCGTTATAAACATCATTAACCTGTGAAAGTGAGCCTTAATGTAAAGTGAACACTTGATAAAAAGAAGATATCAGTTTCTAATCATTGCTGTGGATAGGCATCATGAACTTTTGCGGAGAATCATGGGTAAGGTACAGAGTAGATTCTGGTAAGAAACATTAAGAAAAGAGACACAAGTCATGAGATATAAATGAGAAAACCATAAATACAACACCCTTCAGTCTTGCTATAATAGTACATTTTTGCTGCATCATGAAATAAATCAGGGATCTGTTTTTTTGTGAAATAAGCATTAATAAATATATTTATTAAGCATTTATAACATGTGAGTTAAAAATGGCTCACTATTTGGCAGGCATTAAAATCACCCTCTTTATTCATGCATTTGTAACTGCTTATCAATGATTTATAATGCATTTGTAAATTAGTTATTAGTCATTTATTAACACCTTTATGAACCCGTTATTTATAACAGGTTTATAAAGGTGTTAATAAATGACTTATTAAACCTTAATGTAAAGTGACTTATTGGTACCTTAATGTAATGTGTTACTGACATCTTTATATGAAAAAAAAATTCTGTGGCACTGATCTTAAACTAATTGTTGTGAAAAAGTAAAATATGCATTAATAAAAATATTACATATGTTTTAAGAAACAAAAACGTTTCTGATGTCATGTGTTAAAGATAAAGAAATAGTTCACCTTAAAGAAAGAAGGCCATATAGCTTTAGAACAACACCAGGGTGCGTAAACAATGCCTAAACGCTCTTTTTTTGGGGAGACTTACCTTTAAGTTTACATTAACAATCTATATTAAAAAGTATATTATGTCTGGATTTGAACCCAGGTCCCCAAAATGTTGCCAAAGAATAATTTCTTGTGCACGTTAGGTTGGTATTGTATTTTCCTGCAAGCTTAAGGCACATTATCTAAACTATCTGACGTTATTAAAACCTGTTATTAAAGGTGGTAGTGGAGAATGTGAATGACATTGGTAAGACAGTAAGAGCAAAAAAAATTTAAAATGATGATGTGAACTCACACTCTTTGAAGAGCTGTGCCGTGTGGAAATTATATTGTATTCCATAGCTGTTATGTAGCACATGAGCAGGATACATAAATAGGCATACTAAAAACTGTAAATATCAAAAAGATATAATTTAAAAACAGCTCTGTTCGGGGGTGTGGTGTGCACAATAAAAGAAAACAGATCTGAGAAAAGGTGTTCACAGGAAAACCAACAAGAAAACATTTATTCTAGCAGCGATCCATGACATTCATTGATAATGGAGATAATATTGTTTGTTAAAGACAACATTTAAAGTTTTCAATTCAGTTTTCAAATATTTGAAAATGTGTCAGCATGCAAAGATTGGATCATTAACAGTTTTGCGACAGGCTTACAGATCATATGAATAGCATTGCGTGCTTGGGTCCCTAATAATCTCCTCACAACTGCTATGGTGCTTTTTGCACTACAAAAACTCGCCAAAAA